GAAGATCCAACTTTGGACCATTAAAGATACAAGTTTTCTGAGGTACCAATATTGGTAGGTACAAACAAATTGAAGCTACCAATTTTTTCAAGTACCAATTTCGGAAGGTACTATTGAAACTACAATTTTTTTGCACAGTCAATATTGGTACCAACCATTGAAGCTACCAATTCTTTGAAGTACTAATATAATTCTAGATACCAAAAATCGAAACTACCAATTATTAAAAATACCAAATAACTGTAGCTACCAGGCATAAAAGCTATTAACGACAGAAAATACCAACTATTTAAACTACCAATAATTTCAAAATTGTAACAACCAATTAATGCCACCTGCGAATAATTTAAATAAAATTTTATTTAAAACTATTCAAAAACTGCAATTATCTAATCATAGTTAAAAAAAAATTTGTTATTGATATAATTAGCACAAAAAAAAAAAAAAATTTCGATTCTAACTATATCATAAACAGCAGTTTAGTAATAGTACAACATTAATTAAATATCTTCATCCATAAACTGTTATTAATCGATTTGATTGTAACATTTACACTGACCTTCTGCAAACACCTTGAAAATAAATCATAAACTTATTATTATCTTTGTAAATTATTTTGCAATAAGTCATAAAATTGATATTTCTTTAGGAAAATCAATCATTTGTTGAATACCGATAGGATTTAGATAAATTTACAAAAAAAAAATAAATAGTCTAGAATTTCCTTGATAAATCATCATCATCATCATCAGAATTCGATTCGTAAAATTCTAAATCCCAAAATAACGATAACGGTAATGGACCGTGTGGATTAATGACACATTTTTCGACAAAGTATATAAATAAGGTATATATAATCTCTCCCACCATTCTAAAAACTTTCACATGTATTTTTTTCTTCTAAATTTTAAATCTTTTGAACTACTACGAATTTTTCTTTTTTTAAAAAAAAAAAAATGAAAATCTTCTCGCCCTTTATATAATTTTATATTCAATTTTGTTTATCTATAAATTCTCTTGCGAGGATAAGAAATAAATTCCTAAACGATTAATCCATTCATTTAATCTCTGTTCACTGTCAATTTTTTGTCTATATAGATGCGAGGAATAAAATTTCCAAAGAAGATGAAATCAATTAGATAAAAAATGAATTAATGAAAATACAGGTTTTTTTCCTAAAACTATATATATATATATATATATTTGAATCTCATTTGGTATTTTGTAAAATTAATTTCTTTTTTAGGAATTTCGTTTGGAAATTAAATTGAATTTTTCAAAAAGTGATGGATTTTTTTTACTCTCCCTCTCTTTTTCTCTTTGTAACATAAAATTAAAAATAATTTACAAGTACAGCTTAGAATTTACTAGGTGAAAGAAATTAAATAAAGCCCTACATTTGAGATAACTCGATATCAATCCGCGATGGGAGTCGGATAATGACATTAGGCGACCTTGTTTTTACGATTGGATGGTCTTCCCTTTTATTGATAATTCAAGAAGAAAGAATCGATATCTCTCAATGTTAAAAATAGACACGAAGAATTATTTTACAAATACTGTATTTATAAAAAGAAAGAAAGAAAGAAAGAAAAAAAGAAATCAATTACGGAAAAGCAATTAAATTGATACCAAAATTAACTCTAAAATTGAATTAGTGAGAATTCGTTTACCAATTCAAATTAGTAGAAATTTTCACTAATTTTTAGAAAAATATTACTATTTGATTTAGTCATTATTTTTTACTGAAGTTTTAGTGGAAAATGACTAAAAAAATTAGTAGATATTGATTTAAAAAGGAGAAATTTACACTAATTTTTAGTAAATTACTATTTTGTAAGTTATTTAGTAAAGTACTATTTAGTAAAGTACTATTTAGTAAAGTACTATTTAGTAAGTTACTATTTAGTAAGTTACTATTTAGTAAGTTACTATTTAGCAAATTACTATTTAGCAAATTACTATTTAGTAAGTTACTATTTAGTAAGTTACTATTTAGTAAGTTACTATTTAGTAAGTTACTGTTTAGCAAATTACTATTTAGCAAATTACTATTTAGTAAGTTACTAATTAGTAACTTACTATTTAGTAAGTTACTATTTAGTAAGTTACTATTTAGTAAGTTACTATTTAGTAAGTTACTATTTACTAAGTTACTATTTACTAAGTTACTAAGTTACTATTTAGCAAGTTACTGTTTAGTAAATTACTATTTAGTAAATTACTATTATGACTACTTAATTTAGTAATTTTTACTAAAGTTTTAGTGAAAAATGACTAAAAATTAGTGTAAATTACCACTAATTTTTGAGTAAAATATTACCATGATTTAGTAATTTGTTTTACTAAAGTTTTAGTAAAGACAACAAATTAGTAGAAATTTTTTCTAATTTAATTTAGTGAACTTACTAATTCAAAATTAGAAAGAACGTAGAGCAATATTATTAAAAAAAAGAAATAAAAAAAACTAATTAATTTACATTTTAAATTCATTTCAAAAATATAAGTAGTCAAACCTAAAATATATTAAAATAAAAAAATATGTTTCAATTAAACTTAAAAACTGTTCAATTATTTAACAAAGATAAAATTAAATTCGAATCAAACATAAAATATCTGTTTTGATACAAAAATATCTTCTTCAGTATTGGTAGTTACTCACATTAGCACATTTGATCGAGTCAAAAAACCATGTATATAACATATATATATATATTTACAAAACTTCGCGCACCGTTCCCTCTAGGATCATTATATTAGTACATTAAGAGGCGATTTTGACGAAGCTCTATATTTTTTCACCAAATATTTGTAAAAGAAAGGGTGCAGTTTTTAAGAACTCCATTATCACTTATACATATATATTTTCAGTCGTACTCATATTTCACGCGTGTTTACTGTTCATATATATAATTTACACACATAGTGCAAAAAAAAAAGATTCTCCCATATTCTGTCTGTATATATATATATATTGTTTTATCTTTAATATATAATATTTTATCCGTTAAAAGAAATAAAAAAAAAAAAATTTATACATTAATTTAATTTCCGGTATAGCAATTTTAAAGGAAGAAAGTACTCGGCTTTTTTTTATATATTACAAAAAAACAAAGAATAGAATGCGAGATATGCGAAATATTACGTAACATTTGCAGATAAGATTTGTGCGAGAGCTTGTAATACACGTGTTTATCATTTAGTATAGAAATTCCAATCTTTGAAAAGTTCATTGAATCAAGTGTGACATCGCGCACATATATGTGTGTATGTGTAATTATCTTCGGTTATTTCCATCATTCAGTTGTACAAAGTCAAGTGTTATTATACGAATTGTCTTCAATTTATTCATATATAATATATATATATATTAGATTAAATATCAAATTTTTTTTTATCTTTGCAATCAGTAATTGCATTATCGCGGGTTTGTTTTAGTAAACAATAAATCCCTGGGTCCAAACGTTATTTATCCCGTGCGATAAGATTGGAACCAAAGCTCCATTAATTAACATGTGATTCTGGGTATCGTATTACTTTTGGATTGATCGAATTACCTTTTCTCGTCGACGACCCCTATAAATATAAAAGAGATGAGAGAGAAAGAGAAAGAGCAGTGGTAAAAAAAAAGTCTAAGAAGCAGCATCGGCACGGTTTTGAATATAACGAGAGAGAAAGAGAGAGAGAGAGCAGGAGAGAGGGTTTTCGACCGCCTTTTAATTAAGCGCGGCTCATCCACAAGGCATTTTAATTGCAAAGTCCCGCTTATCTAAAATATGCCTCGTTATCGGAGACGTATCGTCTGATTTTCCGGCTGACAACCAGCTGCGCGATATCATTACCAAAAGAGACAGAATTCCATAATCGACTTACAGAATCCCAAGGGGGTCAAAATTTCACCTTGGAAATTAATTTCCATCCACAGAAATATTGATTCAGTATTTCTAGGATTATCAATTGGAAATAGATCAAATTTTTTACGAGCCCTCATATAATTTTATTGCTCATTAAAAAATAAAGGGGAGCAATTTTATACTTCCTACTTTTCTTTTTTTTTTTTTACAAAGTATATAGACCCATTATTGGATTTTACTGCGTTCTTTTATTGTGACTTTGATCGATGGGGGGACGACACCATCACAGGTAACAGTTGACGTGTGCTGAATCAGTAAAACTTTCCACACGTTTTTCATGAAAAAAAAAAAAAAGAAGTTTAAAACCTTTCAATGAAGATTATAACTCCTATATATGTCTATAATACATACATATAGGGGTCGGTGGAATATATATATTTTCAGGTAAGCCAAGGGTGCAAAATTGGTGGTTAGGGTTGAAATCTAAAAAGGGAGAGACAAAAACATAACAGGTACCCATCAGTTAGAGAAAGAGAATAAAGAAAGTTGAATTACAGGGTCATGAGATATATATATATAAAATCACGCTTTTGAAACCCTCTAATCTCTATTTCGCCCCTTAAATTCATGACCGTTGGTTTTTTTTTTAAAGACGCCGGGGCAGAAAGACTTTTTTCTCAAAGTCGTTACGAAAGTGCAGCTTGTTCTTTTCATCAAAAGAAATAAACTCTCCCTTACATATAGAGTCTTAGTTTCAATGCAAAAAAAAAATATATATATATAAGGTATTTCACTCGATTCTACGATATGGACTAAGGGTCACAGAATGCCAAGTAAGAAAATCAATAACCTCTCTAGTGTACTGAACTCTAATAAATTAAAATGGAACTCATTCTTAGTTTTCTCTTTTAAAAAATTGTCAATTTTCCGTATCAAAAATTTTCCCTACAAAAATCAAAGGGAAAATTTAACTTCAGAAATTAGGATTTCTCTAATTTTTATTCTCCGCGTTTTTTGCAAATATTTTCCACTGAAAATTGATGATCATCACACTTTTGCTAGTACCAAAAAAAATCCGCGCGCAGATTTTAATTAAAATTTTCGTTCATTAAAAAAAATTATATTTTTGGAGAAAAAATCACTCACGTGCTTAAAGTGAGACGCATCCAGGCGCGTTGCGTCAGCAGCGTCGACGCATTGCGTCGGGCTGGCCTTCTTTAGCTGCTTTTAAAATCCGTTCATCCAAAAAAACACCACCCAATCGTCTCACGATTTACGCACAGTTTTCCAAAATTTTATCCAAACGTTTCGTTCACTTTCACTTTTTTTTTTTTTTTTTTTTTTTTAAACCAACTCACAAATTCCTCTCACACTGTCACTTGATGAAACTAATCCAAATTATCACTAATTTTTTTTTCAAAAAATTGGGAAACACCAAATAATGGTTTTTCTCATTAAATTCAAATACATATCCCAATTTTGAATAACACATCCATATGTAAATTCCTGTTCAAAAAAAGAAAATAAAAAATCCAAATTCTGATGAAAAATTCCAATGATCGAATTATTGGAGCACATTGAAATGAGCCGCGCACTAAATATGCGAGTGTTTCGAGGTGTCGAGTGTGACTAACTCTCAAATCGATTGGTGACCAAGATCCCTGACAATGATGGGATATGGCATGGGGAAAAAAAAAAATTGCATGTCGGGTGTCAGTACGCAAAGCAGCGCCTGCCAAGTAGTATTAGTAGTAGTAGTATAGTAGTAGTGTAGTAGCAAAACGGCTGCCACACGACACGATACGACAAGAACTCTCTTCTCACCAAGAGTAAGAGTCTCCCACTAGTGTTCGGTTCTCGCTTACCTGGCCGCTGCCTAGCACCCCTCCACTCGTGAATTGTGTATTGTACACGAGGCTGCCCCTCCACTATCTTTTAAGCCCCTCTCATTTCCCCTTCTCATCCACCCTTCTATCCCCTTTTTGTTGTGTGTCGATCTGCCACGCACGGCACAACGTCGTCGCCTTGACGTAACACTGATTCCATCATCATCATCATCATCAAGGGGTTGATCATCAAATCATTCGTCACTTGTTTCATTTAACTTCGTTTCTTATTTCTTCCTTTTGTTGTTGTTGTTAGTCTCTTTCTTTTTGTTCACCTTCTAATTTTGGTGCTTCAAATCTGTAACTCTCAAGAGGCGTTACTACTTTTTTATTGTTTGGTCGCTACCGCAGTTAATAAGTTGTGGTTATGTCAGAGTCAGTATGAATACTCGAGAGATAGATTTTGAGTTATTTCTGTTTGTAATTAGTAGCATTTTCAAAAATTATTTTTTTCTTATTATAGTTCTACAATTTCACTTGGAAATTGTTACTTCCTCAAAAATTATTATAGTTAATTCATTAGGAATTATTTGTATTCTCTTACAGCAATATCTAATCTTTTCCCAAAATCAGCAACATTTTGTCATCCACTATTTAGGTGTACTAATTCAATAATTTCTGAATTTCCAATCAATTATTTTTTATAAATTTTAATTTATTATTAGTTTCTTCTCCAAAAATTATTAGTTACTTCCTCAAAAATTATCGGAGTTACTTCTTCAGGAATTATTGGTTACTTCCTCAAAAATTATCTCAATTACTTCTTCAGGAATTATTAGTTGTACTTCATCAGGAATTATTTGTATTCTCTTACAGCAATATCTGATTTTTTCCCAATCAGCAAAATTTTATTGTCATTCTGATTCTGAATTTCAATTATTTTTTGTAAATTTAATTTAACAGAAATTATTAGTACCTTCTACAGGAATTAGCAGAGTTACTTCTTTAAAAATTATTAGTTACTTCCTTAAAAATTATCGGAGTTACTTCTTTAGGAATTATTGGTTACTTCCTCAAAAATTATCTTAATTACTTCTTCAGGAATTATTAGTTGTACTTCCTCAAAAATTATTAGTTAATTCATCAGGAATAGATAGATAGATAGATAGATAGATTTTGAGTTATTTTTGTTTGTAATTAGTAGCATTTTCAAAAATTATTTTTTTCTTCACGAATTATTATAGTTCTACAATTTTTCACTTGGAAATTATTACTTCCTCAAAAATTATTATAGTTAATTCATTAGGAATTATTTGTATTCTCTTACAGCAATATCTAATCGTTTCCCAACACTGTAAAAGGTAGGTACTAAAATAGTACCGATTTTAGGTATCAAAATAGAACCAAATGACAATTTAGTACCTAAAGTAGGTATTAAATTAATACCTTTCGTTTTACAGTGAATCAGCAACATTTTGTCATCCACTATTTAGGTATGCTAATTCAATAATTTCTGAATTTCCAATCAATTATTCTTTATAAATTTTAATTTGTTATTAGTTTCTTCACCATAAATTATTAGTTACTTCCTCAAAAATTATCGGAGTTACTTCTTCAGGAATTATTGGTTACTTCCTCAAAAATTATTGCACTTACTTCTTCAGGAATTATTAGTTGTACTTCATCAAAAATTATTAGTTAATTCATCAGGAATTATTTGTATTCTCTTACAGCAATATCTGATCTTTTCCCAATCAGCAAAATTTTATTGTCATTCTGATTCTGAATTTCAATTATTTTTTGTAAATTTAATTTAACAGAAATTATTAGTACCTTCTACAGGAATTAGCGGAGTTACTTCTTTAAAAATTATTAGTTACTTCCTTAAAAATTATCGGAGTTACTTCTTCAGAAATTATTGGTGACTTCCTCAAAAATTATCTCAATTACTTCTTCAGGAATTATTAGTTGTACTTCCTCAAAAATTATTAGTAAATTCATCAGGAATTATTTGCATATCCTCTTTCATATCTGATCTTTTCCCAAGCAGCAAAATTTTATTGTCATTCTGATTCTGAATTTCAATTATTTTTTGTAAATTTAATTTAACAGAAATTATTAGTACCTTCTACAGGAATTTTAGCGGAGTTACTTCTTTAAAAATTATTAGTTACTTCCTTAAAAATTATCGGAGTTACTTCTTCAGAAATTATTGGTGACTTCCTCAAAAATTATCTCAATTACTACTTCAGGAATTATTAGTTGTACTTCCTCAAAAATTATTAGTACCACTTTCTTCAGGAATTATTTCCATTTTCTCTTTCAGCATATAATATTCTATATCTTTTTCCAATCAGCAAAATTTTATTGTCATTCTGATTCTGCATTTCCAGTCAATTATTTTTTTTTTTATAAAGTTTAATTTGTTATCAGAAAATTATCAGTATACCCTTCTACAGAAATTATCGTAGTTACTTCTTAGTTACCTACTTGACAATATTCAATTATTGTCATCAAATTTCTATAATAATAATTATCATCGTTGCTTACGATTTTAATTTTTAATCATTTTATTGATCAAATCAATAATTTTCTTTATCAATCTTTATACCTTCAATAAATAATTTTCATCCTCTCTTCAATCCCTTTGGTAATGTTTATAGTTTTTTACACATTTTTCTTATCATCCGCAATTACTCTTTTATTTCTTTTCTTCTTTCTTCACTATTGTTTCTTAAATAAATTTTCAAGTCAGCAACATTTTTGGAATATTTGAAAATAATAATAATAAAAAAAATAAAGAGTATTTATAATAATTCTGGACGGAGTTGAAATAATTGGACTATCAATCAGAATGACGTTTCTTTGACGCAACCGAGAATGAGAGCAATGCTTTTGTGACTTAGATATGTGCCTTTACCTCTTAATCAGAATGATTCAGTATTCAAAACGACGTTAATTGATGGCATACCACTATATCATGCAAGCACCCTTTTTACCTGGCTTAAAGAAATAACAAAAAAAAATAAAATAAAATAAAACTTCTATTTATAACAAAAGTATACTCTTTGACATTAACTTTTATCAGCTATTTATAATTCCCCTCCTCCCAGATTTCTGTCACCATTTTAATCGAATGACAATTTATTTTTTTTTTCTCTTGAAAATATAACATTTGTCATTTAATCAAATAACATTTTTCACTTTTAATTAACATTTTTCTTGATATAAACATTGTTTTTTTTTTTTTTTTAAATAAAAATACTTGTTATGATGTAATATTTTTGATGTATTACATTGTTGGCATAACATTTGTCACAATACTAGTAATATTTGTCACTTTGCAAGTAGTCTCACATTACGAATAGTAATATTTGTCATTTTCTAAATAATATTTTTTTTCTTTATAAAAATTACATTCTTCATCATGTAACATTTTTTTTATCTTCACATTTTTCATTCAACACAACAATTTTCATCTCATACACATATTTTTTTATCTAATGAATTTGTTATTCATTAGATAAGATTCTTTTTTCTTTTTTTTTTGAAAAAAAATATAAATAAAATGATTATAGCGCACTTAATAGAATTCTCTTCAGTACAGCTAAGAGTATATGAAAAAAAAAATTGATAATAATCAACTGATAAGATAATTGCGCAAGGATTTTGAAATAATAAACGTTGGGGGGTCAACAGCACGAATTCTTTGTTTTTGTTTATTTATTGTTTTTTTTTTTTTTTTTTGCACAAGTCACCCGTCGCGCGCGACTAGTCTGTCACTACTCTGAGACATTTATTGCGAATTGAGCATTACACAAAAGAGAGTGAAGAGTGACAGGAAAACAAAATTGGAAAAAAAAGAGCGTGCGAGAATGGTGACAAAACGACTCGAGGGACAGCGAGCATGAAGAGATAATTAATTATCAATCGACGCCTGATGATTATTCATATTGGAGACGCGCGACGATATATATATATAGTATAACGGGAATGCCACTAACTCTAATATAAATTTTTTCTAGAAAACGGTTTTAAATATTCATAATCATGGTGACGAGTAAAGCACTCCCAGTCTTCATTTTTTTTTTCATCATCAGAAAATATCTTATTTATTCTTTATTATCATTTTAGTTCCAGTCAATTAAAAAAAAAATGAACAAGATAGACGTGACCATTTGCCATTCCGATTCTATCACACACGTTATATATTTCAATTTATTATTATTATTATTTTTTTTTTTTAATAGCTATTTTTTATATACAGTTATGTATATAACTATATATATAGAAAAAACCTCGCGTATAACACTAATCAAAATCGATAATTTCCGCTTTTGCGATTTATAACAAATATTTATTATTTTAAAAAAAAAGTGTACCTTTATAATAATACCGAGTTTTACGATATTTTGGGGTTGTAATTTATTCCGCGTTTTATAACAGAATCCTTGTTCAGAGGATAACGACGTCTAATTTAAAACCAATAAAACATGCTTGAATAGCACGGGTTTATAACCAAATGTTACATTGTATGGTATAATAAAAAAAAAAAAAAAAAAAAAATAGAATATCGTAAAACGTTTAACACTCAACAACGTTGCGATGAGTGTGAATAAAAACGTTTGTGACATTTTTTCAATTACTTGTAAATTTTTATTTTTGAAGTAGCATTAATTGAAACTAGTGAGAATTGAAGATAAAAAAATTTTAAATTACTATACTAATTGAAGCTGACAAGAAATAAAGAACAGAAAATAAAATTACTAGAAATTGAAGTTAATAAGAAATAAAGGAACAAAAAATAAAGTTACTATATAATCACAGAAGCTAAGAATGAAAATTATTAACACAGAAACTATTAATAAAATCTTTTAAAATTTGAAGACAGAAAATATTAAATAGTTATTGAAGCTAGTAAAAATCGAAGATAAAATATTTTAATTACTACTAATTGAAGCTGACAATAAATAAAGGACAGAAAATAGAAATACTATAGTCAGTGAAGCTAATAAGAATTATATATATATAGATAATAACAGAAAAAATACTAGTGGTTAAATCATCCAAAATTGAAGATGCAAAATAATAACATTGCTAGAAA